CTTCATTATTTAATTTCTTTAAATATAATACAGGGCGATAATACTTGGTAACAACAATTTGCAAGGAGACAGGGACATTTACAGTAAAACAGTGCAAAATGCCGCTTCGAAACTAACAGCCTGTCTAGGCTAGCGCCCCTTTGGTCTAATAAATTAAATTAATAGTAAATGAAAAAAATCTTATGCAGAACTAAAAATAAATTTAAAAAATAATCACTATAAAATACAAGCAAAATTAATTATTACAGTTAAATACAGTTTTAATATTAGAATTAAATGTATAAAAATTATTAAGGAGTCAAAAGTGTTTATCACTATTAATTATATTAATAGTATGTTGAATTATGAAATATACATGAAATAAAATACATAGTTGTATTATGAAATATACATGAAATAAAATTCCTTTATAGAAATTGTGCTCAATAAAATACATAAAATTTGCCAGAGAAAATTACTTGTTTGAAATTTTCTATTAGTTCAGATTTAAAATATTATTTTCCAAAATAAGTAGTTACATATTTCCTTACAGCATAGGCAAGCTAAAAAAAATATCCAGCCCTGAATGCATGCAATAGCTTTATAATTATTTTGAAGGTTGATTATGCTTGCGAAATATGCTAAATTTTTAAAAATCAATCTCAATTTCAAAAATAAAAATATGGAGAAATTCTAATTTGTCAAATGAGGGGCTACAACCAGCTTTTTCTTGACAATTATACACGCTGCAATAGGCAAATACTGTTAAATTTCTGCAAGTCGTCCCTACTCCTTCGGATGTGATCAAGGTGACAGCCGGGAATGCCTCAGACGAGGGAGAAAACCCATTTGGGTTAGTCTATTTCTTATAAGGTCCATGGATGCATTCCGATGACCTCGTTGATCATGTGACTTATGTATACGTTTTATAAACAAACAACGCAAATCACCTCAGAGATCTTGTGACTTACGTGCAGTTAATGCAAACAAGCAAGGTCATTCTTCCTCTTCTTCTCTTGTGGAATGTATCTCATTGCTACACGATTGTGTATGATATACCGAAAAATAAAGAAAAGCTGTTGAAATTTTACAGCAACAGTGATTCTAACACCGGAATCCAAAACCGGAAAAATTTGTATGAGGCGAAATCGGCAAACCTCGATGATGTGTACATATAATACAATGAATAATATAGTCAATTTATATATGTAATAATAATTTAATGCATATAATAAATTATTGCAATAATGTATATAATAATTTAATTACATGTATCTAATACGCCTTATTCATTTTGCACTTTTAGTCCGAATATTATGCTTTATCTTTTCCGTCCCGAAATCCACAAAATCCTAAAATCCGCACAACTTCTGTTCCCAGTCTTTGCTGATTTCTGGAATTTTACTGTACTGGTTTAGAAGAAAGTGACATATAAGGAATCATTGGCATATGGAAGTCCAATAAAGTACATTTATAGTAAATATGTTTGTTTAAATTTATAATAACTTACTTCTGCTCTTATTGATGGGGGCTGATATTACAGTGTGGATTTTACAATTGATAACTCTTAGAATCAAAGAAACAGTATACTTGAAAGATTAAAAACTATTTGAATAAAAATAAAATATTTTAACTGTTTAAAAAATGAAATAAATTATTTTTTAAATGAATTAAATTTGTTAAATAACTCAAATCGAAAATTACTAATCACTGATTTTTAGAACTAAGTCTACAAGAATACATTGCATAAATTAACTGTTTGTTGCTTTAATTTTTTAACTGCTAAGAAATTTATTTAAATGAATATTTTTTCTCTATAAAGGGAAATCAAATATCCTGAACACATTGCTAGCAAATTTAGCAAAAATAAATAATATTAACACTAACAAATGTAAATTTTGGATATTTTTATTAGAAAAGTATTACATGATAAAATTGGCATAATGTGAAAACCTTTCTTATTTGATTCATTTCTTTAACTTGAGCCATGGGTTTGCAAACAGTTGTTCAAGAGATATTTAATTGTTCAGTCTTCTTCAAAGACCCAGTTCGTAAATAAAAATTTCATTAAGTATGAGCAAATTTGTTTTGCATTGCATGATGATAGTTTTCTACCATATTTAGTTTATCCAACTTCAACAAATTAAGAATTTTAAAAGCGATTTTTGTCTTGAATTTGGTTGTAAGGTACTCTTAAAAAAACTCAATGATTTTCCACATAATTGGAATTGTTTAAAGCTTCTAAGATTTAATTTACTATCTTTTTAGCCCAAAGGGGCTTTGTCCCCAAAGGACTATTGTTTTCATTTTGTGATTTTGCGTTAAATCAGTATAAATGTCCATTTCACTTTTTAAACTGTTTCCACCAAATGTTAGAGTCCTGCATTATATTTGAAGAAATTAAATAATGAAAAATCTGCATCAATAGATCTGCAATCTCTCACTGTGATAAAACAACGGTACACAGAGCAATCGAATTTTGAATGACGTAATCCTCCTACGAATATGGGCATATGGAGGACAAATTTGAAATTTGTTTTATTAGCAATTTCATATTTTGTAAAATTTTAGCAAATTTTTTAGTAACAAACTCAGCGACTTAAAAGCGAGCCATGGCAACTCTCTATTGGGGCGAAACCTTTTTATCTCTCGAGCGCTGAACCGTGTATCGGAAATTCTAAAGATAGGCTGATTTTTAAATTATTTTGCGACATTGCTATTGAATTTTATGATTTCAGTGAATAAAACATGATATTTAATAAATAAATGTAACACACAAAATGTTAAGAAAATGCCCCTTTGGACATAATTTAAAATCTGAAACCTTTCAGATTTTTTTTTGCTTTTTTATCATCTGAACTGCTTTAAAAGAAATATTTGTATAACTTTTGGATCTTTCATTATACCTATATATTTGTTATGCATTCAAAAGAAAAGAAATTTTTTAACTCGTATAATCTCATCACGTTTTCATTGTATAATTTCTGCTCTCTATACATTAATTGCAGCTTTCGCATCAAGCAGATAATTTAAGTTATACTTTTAATGCACAAAGAATCTGAAATGAGTAAAATTACGTAATCACTGTTCTTCCAACTGGGTGGAAAAAGTGAAGAGAAGTCTGCCTTCTGTTTAACAGGCTGATGATGCCACTTTGCCATGTGAATGAGATAGTTTTGAAGAACCAGTTTTTCGATTCATCACATCTACTTTCTGAATGAGCCTTGAACATGCCTGCAACATCATGCTGTTCAATTTCTAATGTGCGTATCAACATAGTCATGCTAAATGAGCGTCTGGCTGACATTTTTACTTCTAACATGATTCAGCACATAGGGATAGAATTTGAAATTCACCGCAGATTTCTTAGTTCATTGACAGTGAAGGTTTCTACCTGTCTTGAATATTAGTAATTTGATCAAGACTTAAATCTTTACAAATGGGGTGACTGCATGGGAGTTTTCATGATTTTCGTGTAAACATAAACCAGTTTTCATCAGAAAATCTTCCATGAGGATATCCCTCCATCCCCTTAGGCAGATAAACGTAGCGGGATTTACCATAACCTAAGCAAAATGTGTAAATTAGAAAAAAATCTGAATGCAACTAAGAATACTAATGCAAATATTTACATTTTGGTATATATAAATTTTTTTTAAAAAAAAAAGTCAAATTTGTAAACATTGTGAAGTATAACTTTTTATATATTCCTTCAGAAAGTTTACATGCATTGTAAAATATAAAATTTCGACTCTCATACGACAAAAACTTGCTAAGATATTTCATTTTAAATTTGTTGTATTTGGATGCTGCACAGAAATTGAAGAAAAAAATATATGCATATGCACACAGTTAAAAATAAAATATCATTTAAAAACAGGATTCTGATTTTAATAGATTAAGCATTTCTATCTAGATTATTGTGAAAATTATTGATCAGTATCAAGTTTTTCAAAAAGTAGATCTAATTTCCAGAAAACACATAAGCTTCAATATTCTCACATAGCCAACTGATAACATCATTTGCATAAACTAAAAATAAAAAGCATTTATAGGTTGGTTAATTTCTTGTATAATTATTAAATTTAAATTCCATGAAATAGTAAAATTTCATGAAAATATTAATAGTGTATTTTAGCATTTAAAAAGTTACAAATTATTAGTGTGAAAATTTTTGGGTGTATTGTTGTAACAAAATTATAAATTAAAGAAAGTTACGCACCAGCAAAGTACAAAAGAAAGCTGTTTAAAGGGAAAATAAACCTTGAAATTTTCTAATTTATTTATTAACATACCCCTCAAGGCGAGCTGAAAGTGATGTTAAATATCCCAAACTCTGAAATTAAATATTTCAGTCAATTTTTATTGTGTGAAAATCTGAAAATCAATTTTTTTATTTATTTATTTTTCCATGTGTATAAGTTTTTTCCTGAATATAAGTTTGGGGATAAAGTTAAGTTATTATTTCTAATTTTAATATGTTAAAATATGAATATTTACGTCATTTAAAATTATTTAATTATCACAATTTTTGTAATCAAAAATATATATCTACAACTTATGGTTGTGTAACTAAAAGCCAGTTAAGGACTTTTCTGGATATGATGTATATTCCCTTCTTTAATGTTTAACATGATGTATGTTAATATTTACAAAAGACATGATAATTTAGCTCATAATATTTTCATTTTTTGTGTGTGCATGTGTGTGAAACAGAGAATACATAATGATTAACATGGTTAAGCTTAAAATTTAAAAAATATATATATTCATTAAATTCTAACGATTGTTAGCATCTAAACTTTATTTTTGCATTGCTATGAAATCCTGCCTCCCCCCACTTTGTATGTGTGTATAAGAATTCATAAAGTAGGAAAAATGTTAGTGCTCATTATTTTTGTGAGTTATTAGCAAAACTGAATTAAAATATGAGAGAGGCTGTCGTATTTTTTAAGTTTGTACTCTTTGCTATATAGTTTCATGCCGTGTGTTGATTTTTATTGATTTCTTCTTACTTTCAGATTCAGATGAAGGAGCAAAAAATTTATTATGTAATAAGAAAGGAAATGAAGGCTGTATCTTATTTACCCAGCAGATGTGGGCTCATTTCAAGAAACGTTATATTTTCTCATCACGGCACATTTTATTTTCTGTATCACAGATACTCATCTTACCTTTCATGTTTATGATAGGTAATGCACTGACTTACGAGAGATCAGAAAATTTAGATTTCAAGGAACTGAATACATCCCTTTTTCATGGCACAAAAATTGTATGTGCCTTAGATCCTGATTCTAATGTAAGCAAGGATGTTGCTGATTTGTATGCATCTCTTTTTAGTGCCCCTGATGAGACAAATTTAATTCATCCCATAGAAGAAAATATTTTACATTATCTTCTCAGGCTTGCACAAGAAGATATTGAAGTGTTTAATACCAAATATGCTATAGCAGCTGATTTTGTTGATGATTCCAACAAAACTTATATTACTGCCTTCTATAATGCTAAGATACAGCATTCTGCTCCTATTGCCCTGATAAACATTCATAATGCAGTATTTAAATATTTGACATCAGGAAGCTCTGAATATTTGTTTGCACTTCATAATCATCCTTTACCTGTCAAGAATGAATATGAACAAATGGTAAGATAAATAAAAAAAAAACTATCTTAATACTACAAATAATAAAAAATATTTTAAAAAATAATTAGAAACTCAAAGTTAAACAACTGGGGCACAGAGGGATTTAAAATGTATTTCATTGTTGTTTAAATTTTAAATTTGATTTTGTACAATAAATAAGAAGAATAAGGGAGCAATAATAAATGATATGAATAAAGGAACAGGGTAAATATTTGCATTCAAAGAAGTAACAAGAATTTCTTTGAATTCAAAGCAGTGAAATGAAATATATTAAACTATATTTAAACTATATTTTGGAGTAATATATGTGTCATCATTGACACAGTATATATGTGTGAGTATATATTGAGTCACTATATGTGTGAGTGTATATATGTGTAAACAGTATATATGTGTAAGTATATATAGTGTCAACTATTGACACAGTATATATGGAGTAATATATGTGTGATCATGAAATTTCATTAATATAATTGGAGCTTAAGTAACCCAATAGTAAAGAGTTTGCAGCCATAAACTGTGCTTCCTTGCATAAAATCAAATTCATCTGTAGTTTGTCTTATCATTGCATGCATTTTATTTGTAAACTACTGCCACTGAAATTTAAGCCAGCTAGGAAAAGGCTACATTACTACTAATAGCTATTAACTATTAGTAGCTACTAACTAATAGCTACTAATAGCTAGATGTAACATTTCATATGTGAATTTGAATTATTGATACAGAATACTAAAACAAACCTTTTCAGTTATGTTACTTTGAGGACAGAGATTACTTCTGGGCAACTTAGCTGTTTGTTTCAGTATCACATAACATACACTTCCTTTATGGAAGATGTAAAATTTGATGAATACAGAAATGGCTGATAATCATCTAGCATGGGGATGCAAAAAGATAATATTTGCTTTCTCATCTATGTGCTAAATGCATGTTAGCTATCTCGGAATTCTTGAAACATTGCATATTCCATATACAATATCTGTATTGCACAACAATAAGAAAAGAAATCTGTATGAAAAGTCATGCAGTGTAAGCAAAACTTTTGTCAAATAAATATGAGATATAAGAGGTTATTAGAGCATAGTATTTTAAAAATAATTAGTAAAAAATAAATTTTATTTTGTTTCTAAATTTTCGTAATTGAAAAATGAAATATTAAGTTTGTGATATGTAAAACATGATGCAGGCATTCTAGATTGAAGTTGCTCAAGGTATCTTCCAAATACTACATCTCTTGTATTACTTCATTAAAGTTGCTATTAACATTCAGTTTTAGTTTATCCTGAAGGAAATTAAGTAAGCTTTTTGAGTAGCAGAGTTTGTATTGAAATTCTTCTTAAAATAATAGGAATGTTATCTAAAACTTCACCTCAAAACATCATCAATTGTGTATGCTACCAATATTCTGTAGATAAAATGTATGATCTGTTAGATAGTGTTTGAGAGGCGTGTAAATTGCTTTCATATCAAAGAAAATATTTCACTGAATGTGCTTTATTAACTGATAAATATTATGCTTATTTCAATGTTAACAATAAATCATTTGTAACATCATTTAAATTACAATAAATAACTATTCCAATGGTTCTGACACATGAACATTTCAATAAAGCAATATAAATGTTTAGAACCTCTATCTTCATAACTGAGCCAAGTTTCAAAAAGCAATAAAATGTTAGATTTTTGTAAAACATCATCAATGAAATCTCTAGCATTGGCTTTTAAACTTCGGCAGTTCAAAAATGACATTCATAATCTCTTCCTCTTTGTAATAAAATCAATGAGTTGTGTGTCTGTCATTTTGAGATAGTTGAGAAATACTGATGAAATTTTTCTTGAAGGGTGCACACTAACATTACTACTCTTCAGTAGTGGTAAAAGTTTGGATTGTTATTAGCTGTCATGATGTAAATTCCTTCAATGGTAGTCGCTTGCAATAAAGCAATGGAACTCCTCTTATATGTGCCCTCAGGTCACCAAATGCAGCAAGAAACTCCACGCTGCCATATCACTATCTAAATTTTTTGTCTAAATTTCGAACTTTAAGCCTAAAATGTCTTTCGCACATGCAAAAACCACGTTTTGAACACACAATTTAAGCTAAAAATCTGAAACAAAAACAAAAAATTTAGATAGCAAAAACTTAAAGTTTCTAACCAAAAATAGTTAACAAGAATCCATGTACACAGCGATATGTTTTAACTTAAAAAAACATTTACGAATTGCACAATCTAGGCAATGAACAAATCTACGAACCACACACACCTCGCTTTTTATAAATTAACATAACAACAATAAATTTCAAATACCATGTACACAGCATCCTGTTTAAACTTAAAAAAACATCTACAAATTGCACAATTTGGCAATGAACGAATCTACGAACTACGCACACCTCGCTTTAATAAATTAACATAACAACAATAAATTTCAAAGAATACCATGCACACAGTGTTCTGTTTCAACTTTAAAAAACATCTACGAATTGCACAATCTAGGCACTATGCACTAATCAACAAAATAGACTAAAATAAATTTCAAACAATTCAAAAAAAAACAATAACGACAGAAATTGATACTAAAAAAAACAATAAACATAGCATTCTGCAAAATAAGAATAAAATAAAATGCACTTGCCATCGATGAATGCTTTTTCTAACAGCAGAAATACCAATTTCACATCGCCTTTAACTTGCCGCTATGTAATCACTATCGTATTTATATGACAGCCAGGCGCACTATCCAGAAAATTCATACTATGGTTCACAAATAAATGTTCAAAACCTTCTTTTCCTAAATCCTTGTAAGATTTCCAGCCATCCGAAAAAATAATTGTACAAGGTTCAATCCACTCATGGATACACTGCATCAGCGTTTCCTTACTTCTATCATGCACAGCCACTAAAAATAATCTTGCAGACACTCTTGCAACCACGTCTCTCATTGCAACATAGGCCATTTCAAAACACGCACAACACAAACCAACGAGCAATTAAACCACTCCAGCAAAAGAGTTTTCAACGTCAAAAGGGTTACTATACAACACGCAATTGTGCCAAAAACTAGTGCAGAACACATATCGCCACATTTGGTGTTCTTAGGATAAAGCTTTAATAGTTCTATAAGAGTAAAGCCAAAGCAACTTATCAGAGTTGCTATAAATGATTCTTATGATATTCATAAAGAACTTCATTGAATGCTTCTCTGCATTAATTATGAATTGTCTTGGCGCAGGCAGAGATAAGTGGAAAATGACTTTATTTAGAAACAATAGTTTTGTTTTTGTTTAACAAAATTGTGGATATCCTGTGTTCTGTTGGCACTATAGGCTGATTAATGTTATTTTGCTGCATTGTAAGCAGCAACTTTTCTTCTAATTTTATTTCTAGTTTGATTTTTTTATCATGGAAACTCTAGCCACATGCAAGTGACTTCATTACTTTGTTCATTAGGGAATAATTTTCGTACTGTGTCAATAGCTAAATGATCAGAAACATCAATATTGCATGTTATGATGTAGTATTTGCTCAAAATGAACAGGACTTCATATGGTAAATCAGTATCAATGATAAACATTTTGAGAAGCTTTGGCAAATAAATGTTTGCTATTCAGTGTCCTGGTAGCCAATGTAAAACTCCTGAGCGCCCCTCACTGTAAATGTTTTGCTTCAAAAAATCAGCTCATGACAATAAATGAGAATTATTGGTAAACCTAAAGGGGAGAGATAGGTTCTTCAGGGAAAAAAAGTATTAAAAATATTTTTGCTTTTTAATAAAAAAAAATGAGCTTACTATTGCTTTAAAATTAAATTTTCCATAAAACGAGTGAGAATTTGAAATTTGTTTTTGCCTAAATTTATATGGCTTAGTAATTTAATTATGTGCTTCTATTAAATGAAACTTTAATTTTTATGAGATCCTAATTATTATATTTCAGTTCACTCAGTATACCATAAATTATCATTCCACATGCCGCAATTAACATATGTGTTATAGGTTGTCAGTGTCTATCCTGTAATATTGATTAGTGTTTAATTGCAATTAGTTAAAAGACATCTTCAGTAGGATGTTCAAGATACTGGATTGTTGGAGGAATTCATTGACAGATCTTCACAAAAAGATTTTGCAAGGGTTCAAATGGGATGTATAGTTAATACCAATTCATTCACTAGATAATGTTCAGATAACCATAAGTGATAACACTTGTTCAGAGGATGGTGGACTGGCATGGCGTTCAATAGAATAAAAGCTGAGGCTGTTTCAAACTTCTGACTTAAGCTATATAACGTGAAGTAAAATACTTATCTGTTTTTAATCTTTTATTTTTCTGGGTGCAATTTAGCATGAGAATAATATGTTTTAGAAGCATTTGATCAATCATTAAATAATTCAATATTTAACACAAATGAAAAGTAATTGCTTCCAATTTCCAATAAAATAGTAATTGTTCCAAATTACCTTTTCAATTACTTGAAGGTTGCATTAAAATTTAACATCAGTTGAGTTGTTCTTTATTTATTTATATTTAAAGATGGCTGTGCATCAGAGAATGCATTTTATTATTAGGCTGTGCATTTTATTCAGTAATTATTTTGCTTTTTATCTTCATGTTTTTCAGGTCAAAAGAATAAATTATGTATCTTACCAAAGTATTTTAAAGAATTATGATATATTGATACACGGTAGTGTCCAATAAGTCTGTAAATATTTTTAAAATTCATAAAAATTGAAGGAACTGATAGAATTGAACACAGTTTACAAAAAAGTTATTCTCACGAAGAGGGATTTGTTTTTTGGTTAAGGGAAAAATAGTTAAAATTTTCATCAATAGATGGTGCCACACATATGCAGTAGCAAGAAATATGTAAATCAGAGTCCTATAAATTGCAGGTTTTATACTTAAGATCTCGTTTCTGATTTTTCCTCCTACTTGTTCATACATTAAGTTTTAATTGTTATGCTGACATTAGCGGATAAAGCTTTATTGGTGAAGTTGTTTTACCTCAGCCAAGAATCCCTGACAGAAGCTTTACGAAGATTTTCGAGATAGAAGGAATGGAAGAAAGGTTCAGGTCCAATCACTCTTGCCGGACTGACTTCCCTGGTACAATGGTTCGAAGAAACGGGAAGTTTGGATCATCTCCTTCTTAGTGGTGCACCAAGTTTATCAGAGGTCCGTATTTCTGATGTGGTTTTGCAGATAGACACTCTAAGGGAACAATCAATGAATGCAGTAAGTAGCACACAAGAAGTGACATGGAACGCTGATATACCAAAGTCGTCAGTATTCTGCATCCTTCACGATGTTTTAAAATTGTACCCTATAAGTTGCAATCAGTCTACCAGCTATTATCAAATGACAAAGCTAAGTGAAATGAATTCACAAATTGGGATTTCTTGAAAATTGATGATGATCCATAATAGCTTCTCAATACCTTGTTGACAGATGAGGCTCAATTTTCATTGCATAGAACAGTTAACACCCCATAACTGCAGAATCTGGGCAAAAGAGAACCCACGTGTCTATACTGAGGAGCCCCTACATTGACCACATTTAAATGTTTGGTGTGGTTTTACTGTGTCCATTATTGTGGGCCGTTTTTTGCTTTGAAGACCACTGTGCAAAAGCTGGCTGGAAGACCTGCTCAATTACTATGAAAATGTAGTTGGAACTGCTGCAGGAGAAAGTGATACCGCATTTACTGGAACATAATGTCCTTGACATAACGTTCATGCAAGATGGAGCACCTCCTCATATCACAATCGAAGTGAAGGCATTCCTTAGAAGAACTTTCACTGAAGAATAATTAATTAGGCGTCACTGTAAAAATCAGTGTTCCTCTTGCACCACTTGGTTTTTGGCTTCAGGGTTATGTCAAGTCCAGCATGTCCCACAATAGCCCAGCTTCTTCAGTGCAATTAAAGAACACCATTCATCATGAAATCTCTTGCATCCATTCACATATGTTATATGCAACAGTGAACAGTGTTGTAATTTGTGGTGATGGTAGACACATAGAATAAGAGTGATATGCTTGCAAACACTTGCCTACAGGCAAATAAATATAGTTTTCCTAGGAATGTGTGATTTGCTGTCATACAGTGCCCTCTATTGATGAAAATTTTAACTACTTTTTTTCTTGTTACCAAAAAAAAAATTTCTTCTTCATGAAAATAACTTTTTCCGCATTCAATTCTACAAATTCCTTCAATTTTTATGAATTTCTAAAGTATTCACAGACTTATGGGACAACCTGTATAAAGTAGGGGCAAATCTGTTTAATCTCTCTGTGCATGTGCATTAATTATATATATATATAATATACACACGTTAAACAGAACTGATGTATATGCATGTATATATACATACATGTATAATACACACACATTAAACAGAACTAATATATATATATTACAGTTCGCTGTTTTTATTAATCTTCATGAATTCTTTTCCTAAAAGATAATCCAAAAATTACTTTAATAAATATCTTTATATAGTCAAACTCTTTGGAGAGTTAATGCTCAGTCAATAAAATTTGGTAAATAAAATTACTTTAAAAATAAGATAAAATTTAAATTAGAATGAATAATCACAGTATTGCTTACTTAAATGCTACTTCTACTCTTTTTCATACTCACTGAATACTACTCTTTTTCATACTCACTCAGTTTTTGCTAAAGATGTGAATTTAGATTTGTTTCCCATTTTTCCTACCTTAAGTACAATAACTTCTTTTTTAATATAACTTTTGTTGATAGTTTGGCTAATAAGTTTCATAATATATTTGCTAGTATGTATTAACTAAAAAAGATCACTTTTAATTTCAGGTAACTTCAAGATACCAGCTTATTTCTGTAATGCTTTCATCTCAAGACTTGATGTTTGGAATGTCTATCCTGATGAGTAGTTTTATTATTGTAACAGTTCTTGAAAATTCATCAAAATCCAAACACCTTCAAGTTAATGGCATTTTAAATTTGATCACATACTGGTTTTCTTCCTTTATATATGATTTCAGTACTTATATGCTGTCTTGTATTTTTGTATTATTCATCTTCATAACCATGGAAAAAGATGGCTTCTTCACAGTTGAACAGATAGGTATCAAAGTTATCACAAAATTCAATTCATACATTTTATAATTATGTTATAAACTAATTTATAATCTTAATTTTAGCACTGTTTTAAAATTATCAGTATGTTTTTAATGAAATACTAATTAAAAGTAAAATATAAAAATGAGGTTAAGCAATTGATTTATTTGAAATATGACACTGGAATCTTTAATTAAATTTAAAAGTTCAACCCACCTTGGCTTTTATTTTAAATAAAATCTTATATATTTTGAAAATATCTGACACAGGCTTTGCTCTATGAAGGAGCTAGAATAATTTGTGAAACAGTTTGATTTCTAGAAATATATGTTCTCTAAAATAAATGCTCATCTGAAGTTGAGTTCTGCATTATTTTTATTTTAAGTTCAAATGCTTTTTTTACACCTTTTATGACAATGAAATGTAATTCTTTTTTAAAATTTGTTTAAATGAAAAATTTATAGAAAATAAAAGTAAATATTATGTCTATCTAGACAAAACATTTTTAACTTTTGTTACTAGTCATTCAAAATAATAATAATATAACACTAGTAATTATTTCTTGTGCAAAATTTTAATTTAGTTAATAAACTTTTAATCATTTAAGAGTAATATTGATGATTAAAGTACTCCATAATATGAAGTCCATGCTCCATCAGACATGTATGACTGTAATCTCTCTTGTTTTCAGTATTTCCTCTCTTGCTCTCGTAATCTGAACAGATAACACAGTTTTTTTTATTTTCTGATTTCCAATTTACATATGATACATAAAACACAATTTATCTTGCATCATTATCAAAGTAGTGTAATTTGATGGGTGTAGTTCTAACTTAAAAAAAATTCACTATACGCTGAAAATATTGAATTTCTGATGACCTAGGATAATTTGATTTTACTTCTTCATTGTTTCCTGAACTAAAAATTGAGTTTACTGTGCAAATTTCCAATTTCTTTCCCCTTCAAAAAAAAGTTTTCTCTGACATTTTTGCATGAAGGAATATTTTGTATGACATGAAGGAATTTGTGGTAGTGGATTGATTTAATACATGGAGGAATTTGTAAATGCACCAAAATATTTGGTTCATTCTATCAAATTCATTCATATATTGGTATCTCTCACTGGCAGAAGTATGTCAACTTTGTTATTATGTTGCAACAGGCTGCATATGAGTCATGCCATGTTCTTAGATTTATTATTGTTTTCTTGCTCCTCTAAAAAAAAAAAAAAAAAAAAAAAACACAGATGAAAAGGCTGTTAGCAATTACCTTCTGGAACAGAGTCCAGAACTTGTTGAAGTAAATGTGTGACTGTATACTGACAAGAAACTCTAGGATTATAAACTTTTCTCTTGTAAGACTTACAAATTATAGCTGAATATTTATATATTGCTAGTTTGAGAATCTGTCAAGACATATAGCTGAAGTCTTCATTTACTTATTTTTTTAGTGTTGTATGCTATAAAATTAATTTTGAATTTGATGACTAATTCATCAACAGATATTTTGTTTCCCAAATGAAGTATTTTTTTTTTTTTTTTTTTTTTTTTTTTTTTTTAATTAATGTATTTTAAAAAGTTACTGTGTTTGTTACTTGGTTAGTGATTTTTGTTAGTCCTGAGGAGATTTTATTTTATTTATTTATTTTTAATGCGCAATCAAAAAAATTTGAAAACATATATATAATATATATATTTCCAGAAAAATATGTGCATGTCTAAAATTCTAGACCAAAGTATATGTTCCTCGGTTTATTAAAACTGAACAAAATAGTATAAAAATTGTAAAATATGCATATCAAGTGATTAAAAACTGAGATGTATATAAATTTAGTCTATTTATTTTGCTGTAAAGCAAGCTAATACTTTTTTGTTGCCAGTGAATGCAAGGATTTGTATACAGCTTCTAAATGCATTCTGTATATCATATACACATATTTCTAATTCAATTTATTTATCAATAAGTTGTTCAGAATCAATCAATTTATCAATAAGTTGTTCAATGAAGCTAGCTGTTCAGTAAAAAACCCAGATTGCATGGGATTGCACATTCAACCCAGAGTTGTGGTAGCAGTTTAATGAAACTTCTAGTATATAAAGAAGATTTAGCCCATGCTCTCTGAGATGCGTAATATCAAGTCACAATTGCTTTTTAGCTTTATTAAGGGGGAAATATGAGAAGTTTGTTGCTAGGTAACAATTTGTGAAAATCCCTTCAGTCACTTGTTGAAATATACTGTTCATATTTAGAAGAATTTTCACCTTTGCTTGTTTATCTCCAAACCTGATAGATAGATTTTAAGGAAGTCTGATATTAATACAGGTTGATATAATGCAACAAAATGTGTCATACAAAAGTCATGGATACATTATGATCATGCATAAGTCTCATCAGCACAGGAAGGTCTAAAACAGAACTTTGCAAGATTGATATGACTTCATACTGGAAATGAGGCAATGTATGCATCCCTGTGGCAGGCTGTCCCACCGCTGTAGCAATGCTGTGTTTTAGTTTTCCTAGAGGGTCCTATACTATAGGGTTTGAGGAGCTAAAGGGAGTTTCAGTTGCCCACTATTAGCAACCCAGACGTGCTGTATAAGGTTTAAGTAGAGCGATTGGGCTGACCAGTTAATATTCTCACTTTCCAGTTACTATATTCATCTTCCAAAAAAAAATCATCCATCAGATCAGTCCTATATGATATTCTGCAATCACTGTTGACCTAAATAAATTCACTGGTGTAATTGCAAAACTATGAGTTTAATATTATCTAATGTGAAAATGTTTAAAATTTAAGTCTTATTTATTCAATATTATAAAAAATATTGGGTTTTTTTTTTATGAATTGTTTTAAACAACCTATATGTAGAACAATAGAGAATCTACTACTTTGGAGCAACAGCTGCTAAGAATAAGTGCAAATAAGATAAAAAATTTAAGGTTCATATTAACTGAATGTATATACAAATTAAAGATGCAATTAAATTGTGTTTAACTTTTACAAAGTATGATAGAAAGAAGACTGCTTGTATTATAAGGTATTCTCCTGCCTTCTTAACATGCCTTTGTGGTATAGTGGTCAGCACGTTGGATGCAAATTCGAGAGGTCCGTAGTTCTTCCGGCGATGGCATTGCTCATTTTCATGTATTCTGCTTCAAAATAACCTAATGTCTATACAATATATCATACAGAAACATCATGTTTTATTAAAATATTACAAGGAATACTATTTTGTATGGTATTTTACTAAGCCTTTATTATGAGATTCAGTATTACATTTTTAACAGTATGTTAAGTTGTCATGTCATAGAAACAAAGTACATTTAATCAGACTTTTTAAATTTCAATTTAAAATTTTATTAATTATTATATTTTATAATTATTGTTGAATAAAAAATATTCCTTTTTATTCCAATTAAAATTAAAATATGAAATAATAAAGTGGAATTTTCAAACATAATTGAAAAATAAAATGTTATCACTAGTTTTGGGATTTCATATACAATGATCTTTATACAAAAGTGATAAAATAATATTAGTTTAAATTTATGTGCAATATCCTATATATAGGGTAGTAGTTTTTGAAGAGCTTTAAAATACAAAGATATATATATGTGAAATGATCTGAAACTTAATGGTGGCGAAATAGAAGCGCAGCGAAAAAACTTGATCCATGTTAAAGAGAAATAAGTTGAGCCGAATTAATTTCCTTTTTTTCTTTAGGTTCACATTTGTGGCCACAGTTCACTTGGCACTTCAATCGTGCCTATTTCCAGAACAATTTTAGATACTATGGCGATAGAAGCGAAAATAGACGATTGCAGCAGCATCTTAACAGGATAATAGCTAGAAAAAAAGGGAAGAGTGTCACAATACTTCAGAGGAAGAAGGGAGGGAGTTGAAAAGTTTCAGTTCTGAGTTAAAAAAGTTTTGGTTTACAATTATTTGATTGGGCAAGAGGTATCTGCATTAGGCATTACTTAATCACATGATTAATTTGAATGACGCAGTTTAGACTTAACCCCTTCGCGCCGGGTAGTGCAAACGCGCGCTTATCGCAAAGGCCGGCAGTGTCTTATGTGAGGTCTGTCCAGGGCGGGGCTTTTTGTATTAAGCCTAAATCCAGAAATTTCGAAGTATCAACACATTGTTTAGTATGCTCTATAGAGTATTTAAATGGCTTATGCTTTATAGATATTTTTTATATATACTTTAATTATTTATAAAGTCACTTAATTATTACTTTAATTATAAAGTCACTAATTTATTTTTCCATATCGCGACCATTTAGAAGGGATGGATTGGTAAAATCCAAGTCTTCCTTCCACAGTATAAACTATCATCTATTGATATATTCCTCTCAGGGCTGCCGACTTGAAATTTTCAAGTTAATTTATTTAAAACTGGTTAAGCTTTCCGATTTTTTGGCATCGCTGTTAGTAAATGTAAACATAAGAATTACAACGTATCGATTACGGACTCATTACGCTATTAAAAAATGGCGTTGCAAGCATGGGATTCGTTGAAAAGTACATTTGTTGTGGGTTTCTTTATAATACTCATCAAAATTGTTAGAGCAAGAAACAAACATTTCTTCCACTGTAACAGGTAATACTTCGAAGAAGTTGCTCCAGATTCATCCTCAGGATATCCTCCGCTGATACAGATTAGTCCTCTTCAGTAATTAATTTCATTATTGTATCATCAAAATAATACCAAAGAAATCAATTTCTTCTTCCCGAATTATCCACTTTATTTCCAGGAACAGCTTTAAATGGTAATTCCAATAATTTTCTATTGTGATGACCAGGAGAAGTACTTACTTTTGACGTACTCGGCATCATATGTCCGAAATGTCCTCATCATCATTAGATTCACCAGATTCTTTATGATCAAATATCATAGTATCACTATCACTACTTCAGAATCAATATCTGAAATATTTGCATCATTTCTGATTCCACGTCTTGAAACATTTTTCGCCGCTTCGACATTGCACGGTAAAA